AGTATAAATAAATTAAATTAATTCATTTTGTGTTTTTACTTGTTAATTCCCTCAGACCAAGTTCAGTTCAGTTGTATAGCAAACCAAACCATGTTTCAGTTTGATCTGGAACCAGACCAGCTCTTTGTAGTCTGAGGCACCTTTTACACCTGTCTGAAGGTCCAGGCCAAACAGGCTGTGAAAGCACCCTTATTGAATAACATAATTTCACTATTTCAGACACAGATGATCAAGCAGATTAACTGATAGTGAAATTGTTGCATCTGTAAAAGAATGGACAGACTGATATATGAGATGAATGAGGGAAAACGCCCCTTTTTTATTTGTTGTTTTCAATTTTGAAGAAACTGATACAACCACTAATGGTTGTGTACTAAACGGGAATTAAATAGAGAAGGACACTTGAACTTAGATTATAGAGGCAAGGATATTTACTCCTCGTTGCCCTCCATCTCTGCACCCACCTCTCTCCTCCTCCTTTCAGAACAGAAGCTAGTAAGAAGCGACATAGTGTGTAAAGGGAGCGTGTGAATGAGCGAGACAAACAAGGAATAAAGGAACCCATTAGTTTAGTTACCAAGAGCCTCTTAAAAGCCTTGGCTTTCTCCCCTCTTCTCTCTCCTCCTTTCTCTTTCCATCCCTCCTTTCTCCTCTTTCTTCTAAAATACTAACACTCCCCCCTGTACTTCTTTCCTCCCCCTCTTTCGCTTCTCCTCTCTTGCTGGTTTGTAGGCGAGGTCTCCCTCTGCTTCAGCATCCTCCCGGCTCTCCTGTTATTTATATGAGACACATGCTTGTGTGTGTATGTGTGCGTGTGTTTTATGTAACCGAGGAAGTCAGAGTAATTAGAAACAGGGTCTGTCTGCGGGACAGTGGAAAGAAGAGAGAAAAAGGGTGAGAGAGACAGTTGTTGGGTCTCCATCCAAACCCACTGTTTTTTATTGAGGATGAATCGCATCATAAAAGCTGCACATTTCATACGGTTTCGCTTTTGTATTTGTAAGAGTTATATTTGTCAGGTTGGTTATTTCTCTGCGTTGGTGAGAAATAACCAACCAGGGACGTTTTATTGTTGAGTTGACCTTTCACCTGTCCCCCTCTGAACGTGATATTCAGGTAGCACCTTGAGAGAACTTCAGTACAGTCGGTACAAACGTTGACTTATGCCAAGTTCATACAACACGACTCATACAACACGACTCATACAATACGACGTTGCCAGGTCAATGAACAGTTCACGTTACCAGGGAGATGTGTGATCATAAGTCCTGCAACTTATGAAGGGGTAATTCTAGTTTAGGTTGGTTATCAGCCTGATGAGTGGTTGAATTCTACTATTATCCACTACCGATCTATAATTATCTGCTGCTATTCTCTACATGTCATTTGTGACTAATATAATGTGCTTGTGTTGTGTAAAAAAAGAATTAACATAGGGTCAAACCAAACTATTGATGAGGTGCTTCAAAATTTCAGAATTTAATGGGAGAATCAACCAGATTTTCCCAGTGTTCCACAAAGAGAAAACAACTTATCTTCATTACAGTGTTAGAGGCCATGTTTGTCTCCACATAATGTGTTTTGTGGGTTTGGGGGTAGGGGATGCAAACCATCACAAATCATTGCTGCCTGCTTTTCCTGCTTATTGTGTGTCTTTAGCGTGTTTGTGTGTGTATCTTCCTGGGCTCTGACCCAACACAGAAGCAGACCTCTGTTGGAAATGTAATTCACATGAGGCCAGAGGAGCTCTAATGCTGTTACCACACACACACACAGCTGTTGCCGCCCACGGTCTTTGAGTGCGTACCTCTCTTTCTCTCAAACTTCTTCCGTCCCTCTGCCTTTCTGGTCTGTTGTTGTGGTTTAAAAAGATGCAAAATGAAAGGTGAAACCCCCATTGTGTCTCCAGGGTGTCTCTTTGCTGATAGTTTAAAATGCTTATGTGCGGGTGTGTGTCGGATTTTCAGTTCAGGAGACTGAATGTTTCAAAGAAGTAAAAGAACGGGAGTTGAGAGTCGAGGTGGAAGAAATATTTTCTTGGAATTACACTGTTTGTAATGCGTCATTTAGGGTTAACTGTATATTTTTATTTTGGTTTAAGTTACTTTTTTGACAGGCGAAGTCTAAGGTTTGAAAGTCAGGATGTACAGCACTGTACATGTAGAGGAAGGCCTGTCGTCAGAGTGACGGAGGGACGAGAGAAAGACGAGAGGTGGGACCATTTTTCACACGAGGCCCCAGCAGCATGAACGCCCACGCCAACTTTCTCAGACTTAGAGAGAGAGAGACAAAGTAAAGCAAGTCTTAGAAGGAGAGTGACTACAGTGATTATCTGAGAGAATACAAAAAGGCCTAATGTAAGTGTTATCATGTGAACTGAAGCATGTTTTCTTGTTTGATATTTGTGTTTTATAGCAATCATGTAAAAGCTAATGCAGTTATTAACTATAATGACACACTCGTGCATAGATCTGCCAAGGCCAAACAGTCCCCTTACCCAACCACATTTAAATTCTCTAGATCCTGAATTTTATTTGGATCTGCACATACTTGATTTTCCGCAGTGTTTTAAGACACCAAAATTTCTTCCCTGACCCATAATGCATCCTTCAACCAAGTTTACAAACCAACAAACAGAGGCTTCCCATCACATGTGGCTGTTCATCTGCATCACTGCTATAACCATAGTGTTGAATGGACACTTTGGCACAAACACTATAGTAAAATGCTGTTGTAACGATAAACAAATAAATTATATTCTTATTTGTGGAGAGTAGCTCTAAACAAATTATACTCTGGACATTTAAATGAGCTTCGACCTGCTGACAGTGGATGTTGTGGTTTGTTGTCCCACCATTAACCAAATGTGTCTTCATGAGTGTCAGCCACAATTGAATTTGGTCACATTTAACTTCATCCACTGTCACACACAGAGGGGCAGGAGTGTGTATGTTAGTAAGAGGCTGTGGTGAATTAGCAGCAGAGTGAATGGACGGTTTAAGTGATGCACAGATCTTGTATCACAGCTTTAAGTTGCTCAGGTTGCTGTAATGTATCTTTATGGTGTGTGCTGCCAAAGACAAACACACCCTTCATGTTGCTTTCCATCCATTTACACCCACAAACACCTCTGCGGGTCAGAATTAAGGACATGATCATCTGCTAAACATTTTTTCTCTCTTCTTTATTCCAGCGGTTACGACGGTTATCCACCAAATACCGGACAGAGAAGATCTACCCCACCAATGTAGGAGAGAGGGAAGAGAATGTAAAGAAGAACAGATACAAGGATATACTGCCATGTGAGTAGTGGCACACCCACAAAAACACACAGTGGACATCTTGTCTCAGCAAACACATATACTTAATAGCATTCATAACAACTGCACGCTTACTCACATGTAAGGTGCTTAAGTAAGCCCTAAATTTAATGGCGCCACTGCTAATGATGTTGGCTACACCAGAGCTCTTTCTGAAAAAATTAAATACTGTACGTCAGCAATGACCTCCTTGTAAATACTCATCTGATGGGAGAAAGACAGCGAGAGGCACTTAATGACCCCAGGGGAAGCCTCCACGACTCACCATCTGTTCTACTTTTTTTATACCTTTATCCTCTTTTTCTCCTCTGTCCATCCATCCATTCATTCATTAAGGCTTTTAGCAAATGAGCTGCTGATAAAGTAATGGAGGAACCGGTTCACCCGTAACAGATGTGTACACACGCACACACGTTCAGTACATAGGAATGAGTGCGTCCATTAACCTCTTTATATGATTCCACCTCTTGCTTTTTACCCGTGTTCTTGTTTGCCCCTTTTTCCTCTATTGTCTTTGTCTTCTCCTATGTATGTACCTTTACCCATCAGTCTCTGTATTTACTTAGAATTAAACAATAATGGTAACTTATTCTCTTGTTTTATTTCTTTCTTTCTCAGTTGATCACAGTAGAGTGAAGGTGATGCTAAAAACAACCAATCAGGACACAGATTACATCAATGCTAACTTCATCAAGGTAAAAATTAAGCTTTTTGCTTTGTTGTTCAGTGGTTTGACATTATGTGGTTTGATTATAGTGTCTCACAGTATGAAGTGGTTTATGAATCGCACTATCATTTAATTTCTTCATCTTTTCTCTCCGTCACTCCCTTCAGGGTATGGATGGCCCGGAGGCCTATATCGCAACTCAGGGCCCACTGCCGAACACTGTCATCGACTTCTGGAGGATGAACTGGGAATACAATGTCGCTGTGAGTACAGTTCATTGACAAAAGGACAAGCAAAAGCGACGTTTAAAAAAACAGATGGGAGGTTTGTTAAGATGACAAAGTCCTCTGTGTCAAATGTCAATAGAAAATATTTTTTTATGACAGTAGGCACCGTAAGAACTTTGGTGCCTGTTTGCTAGAGCCAGGCCAATATGGATGTTTGGGGGCTAATGCTGAAAGTGATATTATGGAGTAAAAGGTTTTATTGAACTCCTTCCTGATATGTACTGTATATATATATATTTAAAGTCAATTATTCATAAGATGTCAATATCAAAACCTTATGACAAAGTAATTTTAGGCTATTTATTTTAGAGTTTAACCATACACTCTATTATGAATAAATAAAGATAATTAATAATTTCCATCTTATATCTCATGTTTTACCATGAGGGATGTTGTGCCTGCACTTCTCTTCCAGCTAGAATTAGATATTAAGTGTGTGAGCTTACATCCTTTTAAGCACTTAATTGTCAAGATCTGCTGCCTTCAGAAATGTTTATCATCAGAAGAAGAAATGAGAAAACCTTTTCTCAATCCTTATAAATATTCATGAATTAAATTTTTTGCATGTATGCAGTAAAGCTCACATACATGGTGTATGTGGTGTTAGTATGTGGGTGATACTGCAACTCTGCACAGTTAATAACTGCAGGAAATAAAACTGCTATAATTAAAGTAATTAAAGTAACATATTAAATATGGCTGTCAGAAATTAAGAGGCAGATGGGGAGTGCTTATGCTTGAGCCAGATGGACACATATTGAGAGGGAGGGAAGCAGCTGAGATTTGGTTTATCTAGCGCCCTGAAATACTTTAGATTGGGGTTGTGATAATTACACCTTTATGATCAAGGGGAGCGATGTGATATATACGAATATGAGAATGAAACCCGTGATCAAAAAGGATCTGAAGATTGAACTAATCCTATAGAAAGGAAAAAAAATGTCTGAGCCTTTTCCCCAATTCAAGCTTTTCTCATTGTGAAGGAAACTCTGCTGAGTCTCTGGCTCTCCGTTTGGAATCTACCACCAAACATAAATAGAACATGTGGAGTTGGAACACAACTGTATTTTTGGAAATGCGAGATTTAAATATTAATAGTAACTCTTCCTGTGTCTGCAGGTTATTGTAATGGCCTGTCGAGAGTTTGAGATGGGAAGGGTAAGGCCTCTATACTTCATCTCTGCATGTGCTTAATATGCATGTCAGTGCAAGTGTACATGTGTTTATGTTCATGTGTTCTCACATCTATTTTTCTGGCCTGTATTCATGTATTTGTGTGACAAGAGGCTGAGAGGTTGAATACAATTTGATTAATTAATATATATTTTAAAAAATCTATGTAAATGCTCTAATGACCATTTGAATGTGTGTTTTTATTGATCAGCTGTGTCACCTCAGGCTACCAGCATTTGAAAACGTTTGTGTGCAGTGAGTGGCAGCTGTGTGAGCTGCTGCAGCCACGCTCCAGAAAAAAATGCGAGAGTACTCACACTGTGTATCATGTTCACATAGAACATAGTAATACGACAGCCCCAGTTGATATCATATAGAATGTTCTTAGTCTTTATATGTCACAGTAGCTGTTTATTTCAAAGCAGTGTAAGTGTGTGTGTGCACAGGAAGCTGCGGTGTCAGTCCTGTGTTTTCTTCTCTGAAGTTAACCCTTGTTCCTCTCTGCTTAGAAAAAGTGTGAACGATATTTCCCGCTGCTGGACGAGGAGCCCATGAGTTTTGGTCCTTTCAGAATCTCATGTGTGAGTAAACAGATCTCTGTACCATTACAGCTCTGACTGGACTTCTGCATTTCTGAATTTCTCACACTTTGTTCTAATGACGTTTTAAGTCACGATTGTGAAAGTGTTCCCCTGCCTTTGTTTTGTAGGAGTCAGAACAAGCCAGAACAGACTACTTCATCAGGACGTTGACGGTAGAGCATGAAAATGTAAGTTCTCTCATTACACACCCTGTTGATTTGGACTTTATTCATCTCAAAGCACTGAAACATCTTTAAAAACTTTCCCATGTGTGTCTCCCTGCAGGAAACTCGGAGGATAACACAGTTCCATTACATGAACTGGCCGGATCACGACGTCCCCTCATCGTTTGACTCCATACTGGATATGATCGGACTAATGAGAGAATACCAAGAGAATGATGATGTCCCAATATGTATTCACTGCAGGTAGGTACATACTGTACATCATGTGACGACAAAGCAATTTAGGAACATATTGAAATTGAGGCAACATTTAAAAAAACAAGATTGATTACAGGTAAGATAATCTAGTATTGTGATTCTGGTTGAAGTCTCAAATAATGTATTTCCTTTTTTCATGCTTTTGAAATAAAGGACACAGTGGTCAGTGGTTTTCTGTGAGGAGGCAGTAAGAATGTGGGTTTGTGTGTTTTGAAGTCATGTTTCAACACGGCTCCGATATGTTGCAGTTGTGTCTAAACTGCATAAAAAAAAACAATCTACTCCTGGTTGAAGCTTAAAGTTCAACCCTGATACACACTGGTGATTCTGAATGACATGTTCTGCTTGACATTTCACTGTTTCAATTGGCAAATCCTCTAATTCAGATTTCATTGATGGGAGGGTAATTAATGTCTTAGCTGCCATTTAGGATGCAGCCAGATGAGCTCAGTCTGGCTTTTGCATCGATAATTCTCCTTTGATTGCTACAGCACCATGTTTACACTTCTTAACATAACTACAGTGATTGGTTTAACCGCTGTGGGACCACAATTTAAATGTCATCGGCCTGAGCAATGATTAAGTCGTTACGAAGCAGTTTCAACAAAGAACTTTAAATGATAAAAACTGAAAATCACACTTATTCTTTTACACGTCTATAGATTCTGGTTTTGTGCCGCACGCAGACGTGGAAACACATACACACTGTCTCCATGTGTGTGTAATCAGCTTTAATGAGCAGCCCGAGGACATTTCCTGGTTCCTCTGTTACACAGCGGGTCTTAAAGCGGTGTCTCTGTGTCTGTACAGATGCTCTGTGTGGGTTGATGCGTACTGTACGTGTGCGCTTGTTAAGAGTGGCAGCATGAGACAAGCTTTTATGATTTTTCTTTTTTTGTGTGTCAGACGTGATGTCACATAATCTCAGCTTCTGTGAGGCTCCCTGTCTCCATCCTGTCTGGACGAGGTGTTTGTTACATACATTAAAAACAAACATGTTGTGCCCCATGTGTACTCAGGAATAGAAATCCAGAGTCAGTAGTTGTGTGTTTTTTACTGACTTTATGTCTGACATAAGAAGGTGTAATCTTCAGGTTTAGTGTATGTGTGTGTCTTAATTCATGTGCGTCTGTTTAATCTAATCTGTCTGACTACAGTGCAGGCTGTGGGAGGACGGGTGCAATCTGCGCTATCGACTACACATGGAACCTCCTCAAAGCTGGGGTATGTGAATACACACAAACATCAGAATGAGAAAGTGGTTTCAGACGTTCAGACACTTCCTGCACAAATTAACGCTTTCGACTCAAAATTATATAAGAATTTGTCTTTTGTTCTTTTATAGAAAATACCAGAAGATTTTAATGTTTTCCGGTTGATCCAAGAAATGAGGACGCAGCGGCACTCTGCTGTTCAAACCAAGGTTTGTTTGTAGTTATGACATCCTTTTTTTTTTTAATGGTGTTTTTCCAACTGAGTGGTTTTGAGTAATATGGACTATTAGAAATGTTCATTCTTTTTCTCTGCACCCACATATTTCACCCCTGCACAGTTAACCACAAATCTGAGCAAAACATAGACTAGTTTCTCATCAGCGGGTTACAAACAGTATCACTTTCTTTGTATGAAAACCACAATGCTCCTGTCCCCAGAGGCTGCAAAGACATTTAGCCTGATTAATCTTATAGCGGTCTTTGTAAATTAGTCTATTAAAGAAGTAATAAACCTACAATCATGTTTATGGGTGCACATACACAACACACTAAGAGCATTTCACAATCACCTGGAAGAATGTAATCAAACAGTTCAGTCTTGTTTAGGTTTCATTTAAAGTTCTGGATTAATTGAAATCTGCTGTGAACCTGTGACAAATGACAATGTTTCTGGTGTCACTCAGCAGTATTTGGAAAACTGCCCAATACTAACCTGATGCTATTTTAAGACTTTGGCACCCCTATATATTAGTAAGAATTTGTCAGATTGACAGTTCTTCTGTTTTAAACATTAACATATGGTCTGCCATAAGTCTCTTTATTCATTCATGTGCTACTTGCTACACACGTGGTTGATAGTGGATCCTCCCGACTATTTTGTAGCGATATTTGTACCTTTGGGAATCAATATAAAACCAACATGCTTTTTTTTTGCCCGTTTATGCTGCAAACCTGTAATGTAATGTGTGGAAATGTAGTGCAGTATGTTTGCTGTCTGACACGGGGAAAGCAATGAGATTACATCAGTGAAGGCCATTCCAGGGTTTTCACACAGGTTGTATTTCATAGCTTTGTAAGTGGATGATTGTAGTGTTGACATGGAGAATGTTTTTGCTTCTGTAATGATTTGATAAAATCATCTTCTCCCTGTTACATCTTTGTCTCCTTCTTTGTCTGTGTCTTTTTCTCATTCTTTGTCCCTCTCTCTCTAGGAGCAGTACGAGTTAGTTCACAGAGCGATCGCTCAGCTCTTTCAGAAACAACTGCTGCTACTGGAGAGTCCCACCAGCACGAAGATACACGATGGCATGGTACAGCACACACACATTGTGCATACTGTGAAGATAGACAGGATGTCGCTGAGTAACACACTGGTAGTGGGGCAAAAAACACAAATAATTAGTCACGGGGGAGGCAGAGAGTAGGAGGAATAGCGGAGAGCCAGGAGAGGTCCTCAGAAAACTTTACACAGAGAAAAGACAAGTTACAGAGAGAACTCTCCTCAGAGGACTTTACCCTGTTAGACCTTTTAAAAGAGCTCTGCCAGTCACCACTGGCCTCAACTTTCATTTCACTTCACACTGTCCTTCGTTTCCCCAAAACACATGCACATGCATGTATGAAGTGTCCTTAACTGCCCGCGTTCCTCCTCCTATTACAGTAGAGTTAAGAAATAAGAAGAAATTACAAGGAGGAGGGAGGAAGGAGCATCTACTACTCATCGGTAGGACTGTGATAATCAGTCTCTGTACTGTGTACTTATCTGTCACTAACCGGGCTGCCTGCCTGCATGCTCTCACTGTGTATGACTGGAGTCTTTAGCTGGAGAGACATATACCTGGTGAAGCAGAGACAATATTCAGAAGTTAGCAATCGAGTCATGGAAAAGTTGGCTTCTAATAACTGTCAGTTAATGCACGTTAGTGTGTTTTGGAGGGAGTTTCTTTGATGAGAGGGCCCGACAGGAGGGGGGGATTTATCATTTTTTTTAAAGTGCCTGCTTTTCCAGGATTACCAACCCTAGCTTTAAGCAAAAATAAAACAGTGAGATGTAGCATCTGGTCACAATATCCTGCTCATTACTGGAAAAGAACCTATGCTTGCAGGCAGCTACTGGGAAAAGTAGTTAAACTAGTAGAACCACATTTCCTCCAACGCTGTTCTGTAACTAAATGACGGCGAGCCAGAGGACGGAGTCATCATCGAAGCTGTCTGACAAACCTAAAGACAAGAGAGGACACATTAGGACTATGAAAGAGAGCATTGGCTGCAATCTGGCAGCTGACTTCCTGCTTAGGAAGCTCTGATGACATCACCCCTGTCCCATAATGCACTTTCAGTCTGAGAATAGACACGCATCCGTTGGGAAAGGGGGCCCTCGCAAAACACAGTCACATGAACACACAGAGCCGTGTTTACATGAGAAAAGACTTTCTAAAATGAAATCCTAAAATATATTTCAGTAATTTCACTTCACTGTTGTGTACTAGACCTTCAGAGGCTATACTACTTGTATTATTAGCCTATATTATTTATTATTTGTTAAAAGTAGGTGTGGCACTTATGAACCAAGGCAACAACTCCTGTACAGGTTTGTTGCTACTGATAACCATGTCATTATATCACAAAGTCCAACAAACACACACAGACACACACATGGTTTGTATAATATTACTGGTGTGCTGGACTGACTCACATACAGATTGACTCATGTCCAGTCAGCCACTGTCAGCACCTAAAACTCCCACATTAGTGCACTCAGTGGCAGTGCGAACAATAAGCCTACACATACACACATCCCACACACGTTTCTCTGCTCACTCGCGGCCGCCATTGTTTGCAAGAAGGATTTCTATCAAACTCAATTCTCACAATACACACTGACCTACAGATGCAGCCAAACGAGATGTAATCAGATCTTTAGCTGCGTGAGCCCAACTTAGTTCCTGAGCGGACTTGCAGAGCTGCAGTGGCCTGATTTGCTCCTCTGCTATGAGTTTGAAGTTGTCCCGTAATACTCTCATTATCATAGTGGAGACAGAGTCGAATTAATGAGTCACGGTGACAGAGAAGGGAGAGGGACGAATACCAGAGCTGAGAGGAAGGAGGGCGATGTCAGGAGGAGGAAGTGGAGGGATTCTCTCACATCAGTTTTAATCCTTCGCGTGATTGTGTAGCAGCTCACCATCTCTGCTCCAGGAGTTATAGAGGGACTTATGAAAACACTGAAGTTGAGTTACGGGGTCTCCAAAAAGCTTAAAATCATATAGAGGGCTTGAAATCTTTTAAACCAATTCAATTTGTGAAACATGTTGCTGTCCTGGCATCTTGAATTGAAAAAAACTATGAGTGGAAATTACAAAATGATTTCTGTTTATGCATGTGCTCATTTTAGTGTCTGAATATTTCTTTTTATTTGTTCTCTGTCCGTGTCAGGATGAGAGCAGTCCAGACAAAGCAAGCCGCCAGTCAGACGATGAAAGATGGGACACACCACCTCCCAAACCTCCCCGCATACGCAGGTGAGACATGTTCAGTGTTTGGACAGTTTGGGGGAGACATTTTCTTGAAGTTGTTTGAAATCAAACCTCACCAGTGAATTGCAGAATGAGTCTTATGGCAGCAGAAGAATAAACTGACTGGTTACTCACACGGATGAATGAACAGACTTGCACAGAAGTGAGCAGTAGGTGTAAATCCACTGAACACAGTGGGTGTTGCATTTTGTAGGAGCAACTCTACACAACAATTTGTGTGGACTGCACAATGCAAACATATGAAATTGCAGCGTGCAAAATTCTCACCTCAAACACACCAGAGCTTTCCGACACACAAGCTGCCGGTCAGCCCACAGATACAGCCGGCCTCCTCTTCACTGAAGTTAACTTGTGTTTGGCTGTTAACAGCTGCCTTGGCCTGAGGAGCAGCTGTATTTATAGACCTTTTTGCAACACTTTGCAATACTCTGCAACACTACATAGTGTTGAACACATCATAACCCCAGGCCAGTTGAAGTAAAACTGCTACATCTTTCATCCTCTCTCTTTGAGGACAAATAGACTTACACACACGCAGGCGTCTTATTTCAAACACAAACACACTCTATCTGTAATGTATAAACACACATTGCTGCCTTCTCACTTTTAAACTATAAATCTTTCCCCCGCCTTGTTTCTTTCTCAGTCCTTCATCTCGTTTCTCTTCTTCTCTCTGCTCCAATCCCTCCCTGTCTTCTGTTCTTTAATTTTGTTATATGTGCCGAGCAGGGGTTGTACTTCATCTTCACCCCCTGGTTTCCTCCTCGTATGATTTATCTAGCGGAGTTGCAGCCTCGATCCCTTGTTAATGAGGTGATGCACAACTTTTTAAACAACCCTGGTGGATGCTGTTGTGAGACAGTTGTCTCTGCATTGCTGCTTTAATGTTGCAGAGGACATCTTGTTGCCAGGATATTTAATTACCTGTAAAGCAAAGCATAGTTGAAAAGTTACCAATTTGAAAGCATTATTACCCTTCATGAATTCTAAAATGATCTTGCTCTTGGTTTGCGTAATTTGTTTACTGTACCAGCCGGTTGACAGGGAAAGCAAACATTCTTCAGAGCTCCTACTTTTTGGAAGAGGCTGAAAGTGATGTGTGCTCTGAAAAAGTTTCTTTCCTGTTCTAAGGAAAACATACAAAGTTGAGCTGGGAACTGCTGCCAAAATAGGAAGCGTTCTTGGAAGTGGGGCAGAGCCTGAGGCCGTGTGAGGAATATATGGGGGTGTCTCTCTCTTTCTCTGTCTCTCTCTTTGACCTCACTCTGTGTCACAGTATGTGTCTTTATTCTGCCCATCATCCCTCTGTTTCCTAAAGAAATATTGTCGAGGCCTGGTTTGAGCCTGAGAGTATTTTTGTGAGGGTAAGAGCTGTTTTTAGTAACAGTCCAAATTCTGCCGGCCACACTCCCCCTGGGTCTCTTCATGGGAGATTTTTTGTGTGTGTTTAAGATGGACGGAGAGAACATCATTTCAAAATTTCTGTCTGAAACCGGCCTGACCTGACCTCTTTGATCCAGTGCATGCATCTCTAAGCTCAGTCCTATTCCAGCACAACCTATGAATGCATTCAGGTCCCACAGTGAAGCAGCTCTGATTAAAAATACAGCATCTTCCCTCTGGAGTTTACATGTGGAGGGCAAAGTACACTTGTCGATTGTGTGTTTGTGCTTTTTAAAAAAACAATTTATTTTCTAAGTGTGGGTGTTGTTATTACATTAATTTAAAGTTCTTATGAAGGCATGTGTCTTTGTGCACGGATGTCTGCTTATGTGTAGGAGTTTAGGTTGCATGTGTGTGGATAATGTGTGTGCCTGTGTTTTGTTAATTCTTAAGTATGTCACCAGCACCAAACACCAGGGATGGTTGTAGTGTTTTTATGCTTTAGGGCAGAAGGAGAAGAACAGAGGCTCATGGTGAGTTTTGTAGTTTCCAGCTCTTTGAAGTGTTTTATAATTGTCACAGATTCTTAGAGAAGTTTTCCTTTAGACGCAGAAGCTTTTAACAGCTTTAAGGGAAAAAAAATTAATGATTCACACTGCAGAAATACTTAACACTATTTACAACCAGAGAATATGTATAAACTTTTACAACCTTGATAAAGATTTAAAGTGAACGTTAAGGTTTTGAAACGTGTCAGTGTGCATATCAGAGGCTGAGGGAGTTTGTGTTATGCTGCTCTTGCACTATTACTACTACTTACTAAGTCAAAAGAGAAAGTAGGTAAAAAAAAACATTATGATGGCTATGTCTATTTCATGAAAATACCTACTTAAGATAAGCATGTAGCCAATACATACTCCAAAAAAACTCTGTTGTTAATTATAAA